CGCTACATGAGCTCAGCGAAATGCGGTAACTTTTGTTTATCTCTCGTATTTCGCACACTGCATGTGCTGAGAAGAAAGACCACAGATCAACAGATGTTCAGGTGATCCTGCACGCTATTTTGGCAACACGTACGCAGATCGGAAAATCCGCTATAAGACCGCTGATACGATCTCTTTCCCACAGGGCCACGCCCTCGAGTGGAACATTCTTTCCCAGCTGAATGAGACACACCTCGCCAGCTGGTAACGGAAAGTATTGCCAAAGCGCACTTACTGGGCCTTCAATTAAGGCGTCTACCTGTCCGTTAAGCCGGTTAAGACCGTAATGCACGATGTCTGACCTTTCCGAGCTGGGTCACTGTCACCTCCGGCTCCAAGTCGGCGTTTAGCTGGAAGTTCCACTCCAGCGTGGAGTAAGCACTCCAAAACGTTAATAATTTCAATTTACAATTTATAACAATTTCGGTATACCGAAAAAAGGGTAAATAAACTATTTTAGGGTTTCAATGTTTTCTTATACTTTTAGGTGGTTTCTTTTTGAAGTTCATATTAGTTCATAGGATATTTCTAAAACTATTTTTACTACTATAACTCTATTTACTGATTCATAAGCTCAGCTAACAATATATATTGATATTTGGAGAATACATTATATGCTTATAAGTTCTAATGCTCTAACATAAAATTATTTTCTGCGTAAATCGTTTTTCAAAGAGAAGTTTTTTTCTGTGCAACCATTTGATAGCCACTTACCTAACCGCTGTGGTTGGCTGCCTTTCCGGACTCTTCGGCTTGTTGGTAAACATTTAATGTTCTACTCTGCTCGATTCTCGGGAAGAAAAACATGGTCAGTTCTTTTCGGTTCGGGTTGGTTGGCCCAGTGTCCGATTCCCTGCTGCTCCACCAAAGTAATCAGTCTCCGGAAAGAGGGGAGAGAACGGCAGCCAATAACCCTGCAGGTGCCCAAAGTTCTAACTTCAAATGCCTTTGTAAGAGTGTTTACTTATCAAACCTTCCTAACAGTGCATTACCCACTCCAACATCCAAATTTCAATTAAATGCATTTGGAGTGGAGGCTAAAAGGCGTTTTCCTAGCCGATGGGGAAATAGCTGGCATTCGAGAGGCGGCCCCAAGGAAAGTTGCCTTTGTGCGGGGGCCCTAAACATTTTCCTAGTTGTCATAGTTGAGGTGGAAACTCCCACAGCTAACTGACAACCCTGGCTATTGTAGATGGCATTATGCACGCATATGGCTAAACTTATGATAAATTATGTTGGCTGGTGTTGTTGCGCCGGTGAAAGTGCCAATTGTTTTGTGCGCGAATTCTTGCCAATGAGATTTCCTATTCGCTATTAATTGTGGCATTGTGTCTGCCAGTTTTTCAGTTTTTCAGAGCCCACCCTCGAAGTCCGGAGCCCAGGCAAACGCATCGTCATGGAACCCACGCCCAATATGCTGTAAGCAGTCCCACTGAACTTGCATCTTACTCTTCGCATCTGCATCTGCATCTCACTGACTTCGCATCTGCATCTGTACAAAGCCATTCCATTAACCCACAACCGAGTAACCCGAGTAACCCGCATCTCTAACGCCTCCAGGAAGCAGTTGCTGCTAAAGAACCACCAGGACGCCATTCTCCAGCTCCAGGGACACTCTCCGTCGCCTCCTCTGACTTTTGGTACCGTTTCGATGGCGGATAGCAGGGAACGCATCCGCGGACCCTCCAGGGATGGTCGGGAGTTCCTCACCAGTCCCAGGCAAGTTCTCCGGCGTCTAATGTTACTTTCGGAGGGCAGACAGTACAGGGAGGCTGCTGGCGTGGTGGGCAGATTAGGTCCCTCAGTTTTAAGATCAGTCATCGCCGAACTCCCGCTGGATCTGCTGCTGGAGCACCTGCCCCACAGTGCCTACCTCCTGGAGTCGTTCTTTACCAGGTGAGTTATAGTTCAAGTTAATCCAATCCTATAACTAAATTTAGTGAATAGAATATAAGAGTATAAGGTATTCCAATTTATTTCTCTCCCCTCTCAGACTAACCACCTTGAACACCACTCCAAAGCCCGAAGTACCAAGTGAAACGGTGGCCTGGCAGCTGGTGCGCCTCTTTGCTAATCCCCATGAATCTGGACTTCGGCAAAGATGCGCTCGGCTCCTGCAGGCCTTGGCACAGTACGAACCAGCTCTCCGGCAAACTGTGAGGGAGAGGAGACGCAGCTTCGACAATGCTGTGCAGGGACTCGGAGTCCATGGACTCACCACTGATGCCTCCGGACAGCTTATATCGCTTCATGTGGCCTTGAAAGCAGAATTACAACGCCATGTGGACACCTATAAGATGGCCATTCACAAGCTAGAAGAGCTGAGCATGGTGACGGTCAACCAGGATCCCGCCCACTCCTCTCACCAACGATTGTTAGCCATCAATTACGGGGACATTCAGCAGCGACTGATCGACAATAAGACCCTGCTCACCATGCTGGACAAACCGGCATTGAAGCAGCTGCAAACCCTGGTGGAGAATCTGAGCACGCGGGTGGAGAACGACAAGGAGGTGCTGACCTGTGTGGGTCAGGTGCGCCGCCTGGACTCGCAAGCTCTTGTGGAGAAGCGTCCTGCCGCCGGCCTGCTTATGAACTTCTCCCGCGGCTGCGAGGTGGTGCTCCATATGATGGGTCCAGAGGGAGGTCCTCCGGGGACCTCGCTTTCCATGGGGAAGGCCACACCACCCGGCGCAGCCAGTACGAGCAGCTGCAGCGATGGATACCACTCGGATGACTCCGGCAGCGATGACGGCAGGTAAAAACTCAAATATATTGAACTATTTAAACCTCGGTTCTATCACTTGACCGAGTTCCAATAAGGTGTTACACCCACATTACAATCTCAGCCAAATCAGATCGAGACCGCATCCAACTCTCACTTGGCCACATCCCACACTCTGTCGCTCATCTCCCATTTCTATTTCCATTTCTATTTCTCCGCAGCGAAATGGTGTCGCTCTATCGGAATCTCTACGTCGAGAATCGAGCGGATGCCTTGGAGGCGTTGGACAGTCTTCCCCAGATAAAACATGCGCACAGCCTCAAGGGCAAGATACTCTTCTCCATGATCGTGGTGAGTCTGAAGTACCTAACGACACACACGCTTTGGGTCGGGTTGTAGATTGCCTGTAGAAGATATGTCCGAAACTTCAATAATGGCTTGTTAAAGAGGCCGAACAAATTTCAAGACTAACCTGATCGCGGAGAAATTAATGCCAATTGCGGGTCAGGTAGTCTTTTCACTTTTTTTGGGGAAGTTAAAAAATATTATTCTGGGTGCAGCATTTCTTTTTGGCCAATATGTTATTCGGTATAACATCTATCAGATAACCTTTATTAGGTTGAAAATGGCAAAAACTAATTTAAGATTAAGTCCAGCGGAGAAACTGCTGCCAACTGCAAGGCAGTCAATCATTCACATGTCGGTGGAATGCGAATCTCTACTCCCAAATTTTTACTTTTATAATTATCTCCTCCGTTTTCACTTGTCAAGACAACGTGGAGTTATTTGTGATGAATGGAGTCAATTTATCAGGGGCGTTTATAATCTTTAAAAGTGCCAATTCGCTGTCAATAACTCCTTTTAACTTGAAAGCAGCTATTGATCTTTTCTTGGAGCTATTCAAATTTAAGATGCTCTTGTCAATAGAAAAGTAAAAATCGATTGTTTTTAAAATGGGGCGATCGCGTTTCAATTGCCATTTAGCAGGTCACCGCCAGAATACAAGAATTGTTCGAAAAAGCGTTTATGCTAATTAACTCAAAGAATGCCTATTAATAAGGTGTCATTCTATAAACAAAAGCACTAAGATATTTATTATTATTTTAATGGGCAATTATCGTTAAGAAAGCGTTTCTACTGCTTGAACTGCTTTCATAGAAATTTATCACAGCACAATGACTCTCAAACTGTAAGACCAATTCAGCCAACGAAAATTACTTTCAATTTTCAAGTGCTTGGCCATCAATTACTAACGCCAAAGCCGTGGGCTCTGATGCTTCAGATCCTGTCAGACCGCAAATTGCGATTGCAAAATATCAATTTGACCAGATCAAAATCGCGTTTGAGCATGATTAGGCGTTGGAGCAGCGAAAATGTGAGGGAAAGTGGAGCCCCCAGGGTTCCAAAAAATTACGTAGGCGCGGAGGATCAAACTTGTAGTAATCGTATCACTTTCGATCATAGATAAAAGACACTTTTCCAGGAAAAAATTACAAACACAGATCAGCATATAGAAATAAAAGGCAAGCTTAAATTTGTATACTAGCTAATATTTTCCAGTACTGAAGTCCGAATTCCATAAAGTTCTTGAAGTCTTAAGCCGAAACCAGTTCAAATGAGTTCATTACCAACTTTTTCATATATGGTCAGCTCTCCTTCCGCCTATGCCACGGAATGCGGGAACGAAAGGTACTGGAAGTACGACGCATCCTGAATTGTCCTCTGGACAGCAGCAGCGAGACCACTTTGTCCCTGGACAGATCTGTTCGCCAGCACCTTTTCGAGACTGCCGAGAACTTTCCGCTGGGCGAGATCGAGCGGTCGGTGTTCAACCAGGTGCTCTCCACTTTACACGAGTATCCCTGCCTGGAGTCCTGCCCCCCATTAACCCACTATGTGAGTGCCTGTGTCCGCCTAGCCTGGAGGATGATCAACCAGAAGTCGCCCTACTACCTGGACATGGACTTCAACCTGGGTGAGTTTTAAAGCTCTTATTAATTTATTCACAATCTTAATCTTTAATGTATCCAATTCAGGCTTCCTGAGGCCCGAGAAACATGAACGTCATCCACAGGCGGATCGACGATCGGACCTTATAAAAGCCTTCCTTTGGCCCGCCTTGATGCAGAACAACCAGTGCGCCTTCAAAGCGGTGGTGGCCACCTGAGGATCATCTTAAGTTTACCCCATTTGTACATACAAGCCCTCTCTTATCCAATAAAGATTTACCCCTTAGCTAAGCGTAACTGATGGGACGGAGTTTGATGCACTGACTCCGGATCTTGTTGGTGCACAGTAGTGGATGCTCCGCGTAGAATTCCACTATTTCCGAGGGGGATCCAAAACATCGCTCTTGTGGCTTCTTTTGACCTATGGCATACCGCTGTCTCCTGTCCACCTGCCTCACAAACAGGTGGTAGAACTGATCGGCCGCCCAGATGCTCACTATGTAGCGGATGCACTGGTCGGCTGCCTTGAAAGGTCGAACCAGGCAAGATCCATCCTCTCTTCCATGGAGCATGCGCTCCGCCGTAGGTCGATCCACCGTAAAGTAGTACTGCTCCTTCTCCACGTGCCGCTCTTCTATCTCCGCATAAAAGGCGTCTGAGTCTTCTTAAAAGAGATTCAAATAAAATAATTATTTTATAGGTATAATACAGGAAAAGAGAAAACAGTAACTCATTCTTAAAATATATTCCAACTGCAGGAATATAATGTTGTCCACAGAAATCGATAGTTTAGCCCGCTTTTTTGTTTACATTTCACCAGCGGATAGACATATGACTTTGTTTTGAAACGGCGATATCTGCGAGAACTCACCCTCAATGACGTAATCTTGATGGGGCTGCTGGTGTGGATCGTCATCTGTGCTGGAAACCCGTTCTGCGACGTCACCTTCTTCACTGGCCTGTCTCTGATAGCCGAAACAGCAGCTACAGCAGACAGGTGACCTTAGTTCCGTCAGACTGTCCAGCAGGCGAACCAGAAGATTGTGCAGAACCGTCCAGTAGACACGTGCACACCAACAGCACATGGCGCCAATCAATCGAAGCGTCTTATCCCCTCTTATCCGAAGCAAAATTGGCTGGATTGTTGGAATTGGGAGCGCCGCTCGCGGCGCACATCTTTCGCGATCGAGCTACGCTGAAGACTGAATACCGAGTGACCAGAGCTTGACATGGAACCACAACCAGAACCCTGATCTCAGCACTCATAGCCCGAAACTGAATACTTGCCGAGACAAACCCGGCTCGTCTGGCGCTGCAACTCAATTAAAATGTGTTTAATGCGCGCTTGTGGGGCAGCAAAAATGCCCATATGTAAATAAGATATGGATATGGCTGGTAAACAAAATTCACTATCTGACGGGTGGGGATAAAGTTGGGGCCACGGGAAGAAACTGGATACTCCATGCGCTGGGGAGTGCAGCCAAGTGAAGATCATCACTTGGTTCCCATACAGTAGAACCAAGTTTAGGGTTTTCGGCATTCTGATAAACGAAAAGCAATTTTGATTCGAGACATTTTTGTGCATGAGTTTAATTATATGAACTAAAAACAGAATTAAAATAATAAGAAAGAAAAAGAAACACGTTTATTTTTTTTTCAGATGGGATCCCTTTAATAGTTTATGGATTTCAGCTTACAAAATTGTTTGCTGTGTAAAAATAAGCAGCGACAATTATTAAACGTTAAGCACCCATAAATTTATGTTCCCCTCTGAGGAATTCATTGAGTGTGGCTGAATTTTCTGAGGGGAAGGGGTTCTATATATATCACATATCTTTGGCTCTACATAATCTAGACACAATGGAGTCGAATGGCCAACATATGAGTTCGGAATTTTGCATGTTTGATGGGGGTAACATAATCTCGTTTTGCGAAAATTTAAGTTTCCCAGATTTGAATGCAAAGCAATTGGGGATCATTGCAATCAAATTACGAGCCCTACGAGGTATTACATTCCTCATTTGGACCATATGTGGCGTAGTTATGAGAACAATACT